TCTTCCTTTCCTCCTTCTCTCCCTCCCTTCCTTTTTCAACTACCCCAACACTAAATTTTAATGCAAAGCAGCCCCACTTCTGCAGATGCATCTGAGCTTATGCCCCCACCCCAGAAAGGAAAGGAAAGGAAAGGAAAAGGGGGAGAGTGTCTAAGGTGCCCCACAGCTCTGTAGTATTTTGCGGGTTGGTTCACTGGTGGGTTGCTTGGCTGTGTGCCATCAAATTGAACTTAAGGCAGCCCTCGTGGGGTTTTCTAGGCACAGTGCTCAGAAGTGGCTTCCCGATCCCTCCTTCCATCCCCAGCAACACTGGCCTCCCTGAATAGGGAGATGATGTTCAGAAGCAAAGGGAAACCTTTGGGAACCATCTCAGCAGACATTCCCACTTGCCACTGGTTTATTGAACAATGGAGCAAGACATGCCATTTGGGGCTGTGCATGGATGTGGCAGAAGCTGCTTGCACCTGATGTTGAGTCGCCACCTTATTTTTGTTGCCCAAAAGGGCATTAAAAGGGTGATCTTCCCTCCACGTCCCTCACTCACGGGTATCTTTTCTAGACTAAAGGCAGGCAGAGGAGAAGTGGTTAAGTCACACCTCCACCTGCCCACTGCCAGCTCAGCCCCTGGACATGACCCCACTTGTGGTCAGACTCTGGTGCAAACCCATACAGACTCATTGTAGCAAAACAGAGTTTAGGGGAGTTGTTTCTCCGAGCTGAAACTTGCAGAATTTCCCAGACAACATGGAGACAATTCTCAGAGCTACTGTAAAAAAATATAAAGAAGTTTCCTAAGCTCTGATTAAAGAAGACTTTTTAAAATGGTTTTTCCCCCTTTGTTCTTAATCTTCTGTAAACACACCTGATTTTGCCTAGAGGAAGCCGAGACATTGACGAGAAACAGCCGAACATACTTTGCAACATTCTTCTTTATTGTGATTTAGCCTGTCTTTATTTGCAGATTATCTCATCTATTAGATTTGTCATGGATAATCTTCCAGCCTTGAAGCACTCCTGGATCGGGCTCTTAACCACTCTTGTACCAAGCCCTTCAAAAGGGAACTCACAATCTCCTTTCTTCTCTGTCATTAATAGGTTAGAAAGGGGAAAAAAATGAGTCCAAGATTCACAGGTGGACAATGACTTTAGTAGGGTCAACTATGAATTCAAAAATATGCAGAGTTCCAGGTTCCATAGAAATTCCATGGTCATTTTTTACCATCTAGGCTAATGAAAATTCTTGGGAGGGCTAAAAAAGGTGCATGATTTTGAAAATAGTGTTGCGATGTGCTGCCTGACTTAGGGTGACCCTAAGAAAGGTTTTCTATATGGTTTCCTATTGCTCGCCCCCCCCCCATGAGTTTCCCTGGTCAAATGGGGATTTGAATTCACATCTAGTCTAGTACTGTACACCATTATGGCTCTCGGTAAATTTGTACTTGAACTTAATAAAGGCATTGCCCACTAGTGGAGTCTATCTGGGCAACACAGATCGGGGCCCTCGGAAAAAGGTTCTGCCCCGGCACTGCCAAATAGTGCTTCCCTCTTTCCAACCTCAGTTCTGGAAGGAGGACCTCCCGAAGCTACTGGACTTCAGCGGGAGGTTGTGAGCAGCCAACTGTGACTGCAGCAAACCGTGGAGGCCTTCCAACCTTCTCCACGTCTCTCCTCTGCAGGCTTTCCTTTCTCAAGGATGGACTCGTACCTGATCCAGGTGAACGGCAATACGACCCTGCCCTCCCTCCTTGATGTCCATGTCAATCTGAACGGAAAAGCCCCTTCTCTGGGCAAGAGCAAAGGCCGGAAGCCCCACTGGGCAGTCAGGGCCTCTGACATGTCCAAGCGGACGTTCAACCCCATCCGGGCCATTGTGGACAGCATGAAGGTGGAGCCCCATCCAGAGAAGCCGTTGATCTCTTTGTCCCTAGGTAAGTGGGGCAGGAGAGGGTAAGGCAGACTCCCTCCGGGACTTGCTCTGCCTCAACCATGTGGGTTGCTGCTTCTTTGGCCCTTCTGGTTCCTGCCAGGATGTTAGCGGGAAGGAACGGGCCTCCACTAAGAGACAATCAGGGGACAATTTTTTTGCTAAACATTTCCCAGTCCTTTATCAAAATTAACATTGGGACCTAATTCGGATCACATCACGCCTCCGGCTGCCTTGTGTTGCTACAGCAGCTCCCACAGCTAGAACGTTTGGCCAGATTAAAATGTAACTTAGCTGCTGACGCCCCTCAATCCCCTTGCCCATATTTTTTGCAACAATGCTCAGCCTGATGGAGTGTTCTGAAAGGCCTGAACACTCACTCACTCCCTCTCTCATTCATTCATTCATTCATTCATTCATTCATTCATTCATTCATTCATTCATTCATTCATTCATTCATTCCATGTTTGCCCCACCCTTCTCCTTAAAAAGGACCCAAGGGGGCTTGTATCATTAGAAGACAATATTTAAAGCTTAAAACAGTAAGCGTATCCATATTCTAAAGGTTCAGACAAATACCACACTCAAAGATGGTCAACAAAAACACCAACATCATGTTCAAAGCAATTAGGCACAACAACCCATTTAAAAAAAATAAAAATAAACAACACTCAGGCAGGCAGTCACTCAGGGAAAGTCTGCCTGAAGAGAAAGGTCTTTGCCTCCGTTTGGAAGGACAGCAAAGACGGAGCCAGCCGGGCCTTCCGTGGGAGGGAGTTCCAGAGTCTGTGGGAGCAGCCACAGAGAAGACCCTCTCCCGCGTCCCCCACCAAAATGCACTTGTGAAGGTGGTGGGATTGAGAGAGAGGCCTCTCCTGATCATTGTGAAGGTGGTGGGATCAAGAGAGAGGCCTCTCCTGATCATCTATGATTTGATGGCTCAGCTCTGATGTTTGTTTTTCTCTAGGGGATCCAACCGTCTTTGGAAACCTTCCTACGGACGATGAGGTCATTCAGGCAATGAAGGAAGCCCTGGATTCCCGGAGATACAACGGCTACGCCCCTTCTGTGGGTAGGTCCCCAAACCCTACACAGAGAGGAAGCTAGGGGTCAGCCAAACAGTTGGGGAGAAGGGTCCAATGCAGGAGTTTGGGGTTGGGTGGGCTTAGAGAAGAAGGAGGCTCTGCCTCCCACGAAGGATCTCCAGGGCCAGAGAAGGAGGAGCTGGAAGGTTCACGAGAGGACCTCCCCGTGGCTGCCGAAGGAGGGGACCTTTCTTTGGAGCAGCACCTGCATGGCCCTCCTTCACAGGAGGACAGTAGAGCTGAGCGGGAGGGGAGAACACCCAAGACTTTGCCTCATTAGCACTAGAGTCACCCCATTTTCAGGATCCTGGGAGATGTCACAGAGGCAGGGCCCCCCTTCATGTGACTCTTGCCTACACAGGGTACCTGTCTGGTCGAGAGGTGGTGGCCAAGTACTACAGCTGCCCAGAAGCCCCTCTGGAAGCCCAGGTAAGGAAGCCAGCTGGTGGAGGATAGTGGTGGTGGCATCTTTCCTCTTCCCGTCTGGAAGCCCAGGTAAGGAAGCCAGCTGGCGGGTATGGGTAGTGGAGGATAGTGGTAGTGGCATCTTTCTTCTTCCCATCATCCCATCCTAAGATCTTGGAAGGAGAAGCTGAGACATGAGATTCCCCTTTGGTTAGATAAAGGTGGTTCTCGCTTTATCTTTGTTGTCTCGCGTCCCAAAAGGGCCGGCCTCCCCACCCCAAAAACTCACTGCTCCCCCTTCTTTGCAGGATGTGATCCTGACCAGCGGCTGTAGCCAGGCCATCGAGCTGGCCCTAGCCGTCTTGGCCAACCCTGGGCAGAACATCCTGGTGCCACGCCCGGGCTTCTCCCTCTACAAGACCTTGGCTCAATCCATGGGCATCGAAGTCAAATTCTACAACCTCTTGGTATGCCAGTGGGTGTGGGTGTGGGTGGCAGGGGTACCCTTGACTTTCCTCTCCTGCCCTCGACCGTTTCAGGGCAGCAAAGCAGGAGGGCCGCTCATGGTAAGGGCCCCTGCTAGAGGGGACGCCGTATCCTCATGCTCTTCTCCTCTCTGGCAGCCAGAGAAGTCATGGGAAATCGACCTCAAGCAGCTGGAGTCCCTGGTGGATGACAAGACCGCCTGCCTGGTGGTCAACAACCCCTCCAACCCTTGCGGCTCCGTCTTCAGCAAAAGCCACCTCCAAAAGATTCTGGCCGGTGAGTCTCCTCTCTGTTAGGATCCCTGTTGTCCAACGCCCACGCTGAGTTCAGGCTGTCCTCCAGCTGCTCCAGGCTAGGCATCTCCAGGGCACCAGCCAGATGTGCCCAGCTGGGCTGTGCTTTTGCTTCAGGAAGCAGGGGGCAGAGAGAGAGAGAGGAAGAGGGGGGGATCCAAGGGCCACAATGGGTCTCTTGCTCCCAAGAAGGCTGGCTTGTACTTCCTGAGCTTGCCAGAATCTTGCTGGGCAGCTTGGAAGAAACCCCTTATTCAAGGTGACTTCTCTTCCTCCGGTTTTTGGGGTGGTGGTGGGGTGTTCTGCCTCACGCCCTGGAGCTGTCATGGGCCGCCTGAAGCTTTACCCAGTTCCCTGCACACTAGAGGCCCTCACAGTGTAGGTGCCAACCATGGTATCCTCTCCCTTTCCAGGGCTTGGGTGACTTGATTTATTTTATTTATTTTATTTATTATTAGACTTTTACCCTGCCCCCCCAGACAAAGTCTACTCGGGGCGGCTTACATACATAATAAAAACACAGCAATATAGCAAACATAAAAAAATCATCGGAAACACATTCCCCCCCTGATTCCCCCCTTCTTTGTCTTGCTCAGTGGCCTCCAGGCAGTGCATCCCCATCTTGGCGGACGAGATCTATGCAGAGATGGTGAGTGACATCAATGCAACGGCGGTCTCTTGGAGCAGGTCCCCAAGAAGCCTCCTTCCACAGAGTCCCTCCTGCTTCCTGGCTGAGCAAGGATGTAGCTTCTACTCCTCTCCCTCCTCTCTGGAGGCTGCTGGCTCCCAATTCAGAAGTGCTGTGAATCTGGTCCAGGTTTTAGGTCTGCCTTTACCGGAGCTGTCCAAGGTGCTGAATGAGACCCCTAACTAGCTTGGCATCCTAGGGAACCTGCTGTAAAGTGCAGGCTGAAATCTGGAGTGGATTCACAGAGACGGCTACCACTAGCCACCCCTGGACAGTTGGAGCCAGCTCTGGCCCAAAACATCCCCTTTGAAGAAGGCCTGATTTTGACACTCTTACCCTCCCAGCCGGGAAAGTCTTCTCTTCCTGAAAAGCATTGACGTGGCCGTCCTCTTTCCCCAGGTGTTTGAAGATTGCAAATCTGAATCCCTGGCCAAGCTCAGCAAAAACGTGCCCATCCTGTCCTGCGGAGGCCTCGCCAAGCGGTGGCTGGTGCCTGGCTGGAGAATGGGCTGGATCCTGATACATGACCGCAGGGAGATCTTCGGGAAGGAGGTGAGAAAGCCCGGCTTGGTTCAGCAGACGCAGATAGATGGTTGACGGGGCAAACTGGCCGGCCAGAACACCACCTCCTGCTTCCAGTCGAGGAGGAGCTCGTTGTAAGGAACAAAAGGGCAAAATTAAGATATTAATCCTTGCCCCCAAATCCCATTCCTCCAAATCTCTGACATTCAGGCACACTTTGTGTTCAGCTAGGGGTGGGGAGGGAGTTTGCAAGAAGCACTTCTCCCATTAATGGGTTGCAAGCAGCTGCTTTGAGTCAGCTCTCCAGCCACGCAGAAGGACACCCATCTGTGGCCGTGGGTCTTTCCACCTCCACATCACTCCGAGCGTCCTACTCCCCATGTTGCTTGGCCCAACCTTCTGCCTTCCTTCGTGCAGCAGTAGACCTGCAGAGCCACCAAGAAAGCACTGTGATGGCTGATGATGATAGCAACCCACTTTGCTTGCAGTGGTCTTGGCTACCCTGCCCTCCTGGGAGCAGGCTCAGTTCTTTCCCCGACAGCTAATGTCTTGGCCGTTTTTCCAGATCCGGGACGGGCTGCTGCGGCTGAGCCAGAGGATCCTGGGGCCTTGCACGGTGGTCCAGGGAGCCCTCAAGGCCATCCTACACCGGACCTCCCCCGAGTTCTATCACAACACCCTCAGCTTCCTCAAGGTAGGTGGGTGGCTTCCCTTTCCAAGAACACCGGGCGATCCATGGGCTTGTGCTCCCGTGGAGTGGAATCAAGATCGGCAGGCAGGCAGAAGCAGAGGCTGAGGAGCGAAGAAGAATTATTGCGGATCACAGGAGCTCTCCAGGGTTTCAGGCAGACCCTTGTGGAATGTCCGGGATCTCTAGGGCTAAATGTAGGGTTAGGTCTAGGGCTGAATCCATGGACCCTGACAGGCTGCTGCAGGCAAAGCAGGGGCTCCACCACGGAGTGATGGCCTTTCCTTAAGACAGAAGAAGAAGAAGGCCATGTTCCTTCCACCGAGTCAGCTCCTTTGTTCCCTCTATCCTGGGACTCTCATTTCTGTCTGTCTGTAACAGCGTCTCCGAGTGAACAGGCAAGACTCTTCTTTGCTAGCCCTACCGGGAGATCCTTGGCATTCCCTAGTGGTATCCTATCCGAGCCCTAATGACACCTGAACTCGCTAAGTTTCCAAAATCTGATGAGATCAGAGGCATTGAAAACAGGAGTGGGAGTTTCCTGCAAAGAGGCCAGAGCCCGAGGGAAGCTATTTACTCCTGCTCAAGTGTATAGCCACCAATGAATGTGTCCCTGATCCGATTCCAAACCAGGCAACCGGTTTACTACAAAGAATTCAGCTGGGAGCTTGTTAGTAAGCAATGATTTGCCATTCCAGGTGACCCCCAATAGCTTATGCAGGAATAAACATGTACATGGATTAAGGCTGGAAAGGGCTTCTGTGGAAGATGAGGATCTAGTCCCAGGCAGCCCACAACCGATTTCACATCTTGCCCGTGCCCTAGGAGGGGAGCTGTCCCGACTTCGATCCTAACCCCGTTCTCCTTTGGCCCTTTGCAGTCCAACGCGGCCCTCTGCTACGATGCACTTTCGGGCGTCTGTGGACTCCGGCCCGTCCGGCCCTCTGGGGCCATGTACCTTATGGTGAGTGGCCAGTTGGAAGACCAACGACGTGGGGTGGATATTACAGCCCCCTTCCTGGGCCGTCCCTCCTCCTTGTGCTTGCGAGACCCCTTGGAGGGTGGCAGGGGCCCTTTGGAAGTCGGCCAGGGGGAGGGGAAGCCGAGGGAGCCCCTGCCAGCCAGGTACCCTGACTCTCGCTCCTCCTCCTCTTCTCTTCCACAGGTGGGGATCGAGATGGAGTCCTTCCCAGAGTTTGAGAATGACGTGGAGTTCACAGAGAGACTCATTGCTGAGCAGTCCGTCTTCTGCCTCCCGGCGACGGTACGTTTCTTTCTCCTCCACACCCCAGAGCCTTCTGAGGCCTTCTGGAGGTCTGATGGAGCCGAGGGGCAGAGATCTGTTCTGCCTTCCCCCCCCCCACGGGGACCCCGTGGCCTTTTGCCCTACCCTGTCCATGCCTGCCTTTTGCTAGCCTTTCCTTGGGATCTCTGGCCATGCCCTGGGCTCAAAGGCACAAAGCCTGCCCGCCAGCCATGCCCTGGGCTCCAAGGCACAAAGCCTGCCCGCCACAGTCCATCTGCCCACGGGCACAGCCCCCCCCGCCCCTGGCACCCGGACAACAGGACCAACCACGGCCATCCGTCAAACTGTCTCCGGCTGCTCTGGATTTGCTTGGCCAGCCGTGGAGAATGGCTTTTTTCCGTGGGGCAACGGCACCATCTGCACTCAGAAATTCAACACAGAAGCGGGGGGAGGGGGGGGAAAGAGTTCTTCCCCAGCCCTTTTACCTGAGATACACACACAAAAGTGAACTCAGGGTGCTGTGCGGCACCATCTAAGATCTCCCCTTGCCCTTGCCCACGACCCCCCTCTCTTGAGCCCAGCGTTAGCCTCAGGACCTGACACAAGAGGGAAATGGGCAACCAAGGGGTCTCTGGGCATTTGCTGCCCGTGGGGAAGCGAGGAGACCGTGAGCAAATCTGGCCCGTTTTTTATTTTTTTAAAAAGAAAGGACACGGGGCTGTTCTGGTTCCAACGCTTTGCTCCTGCTTCCCTTGGCAGTGCTTTGAGTACCCCAACTTCTTCCGGGTGGTGCTCACGGTGCCCGAGGAGATGATGGTGGAAGCTTGCCAGCGTATCCAGCAGTTCTGCGAGAGGCACTACCAAGGTGGCGAGGGAGCCCCGGACCTGGAATGCGACAAGTAGCCGACGGCGCCTGCCCTTCCGCTGCCTCCTCCACTCCATCCGCGTCGGGTTGCGCATGCCATGTGTTTGCGCCACCGAACCTGAAGCCCTCCCTGACCCCCACCCCACCACCTCCTCCTCCTTTTGGCACAGAGCTGTGATGAGGGAGCATCCGGTGACACTCCTCTCCGGCCGGCGCCCACTTGCCCGGGCCCAGCGTGTGCCAAGGAATTCTAGCCAGGCTTTTCCTGGCCATGGGTTGCTTGTGACCACTTTCGCTGCTGCTCAAGAAAAGGTTGGTTGGAGCCTAGGAGAAGGAACCCCACCTTAGTGCCCTAGCCACTAGTTCATGCTGCCCGGCCCTTCTGCAGAGTTGGGGCTTCCGTAGGCGATCATATACCTCCGTATCTTCACACACACCCCAAACCCACTTCTCCTCCCATGCTTGTTTCAGGTCCATAAGTTATTGTAACTTTTATATGAATAAATGCATGAAAAATGTCTCGGCTTTGCCTGGGATCGGCGCTCTTCTCCTACACGTATAACTCTCTTCAGCAGTACTGCCAAGAAAAGAAAAGTTACTGATTTGCTGCTTTCCCACAAACGGGCTCACAGTAAGCGTTGCTTTTCAAAACACATTCACCTGTCCGTTATCACTAGTCCTAACCAGGGTAAGCTCATCGACTTAGCTGGCTTTTACATAGGCGTTGCTTTACCGTTCAGCCCTCGAGTCAACGGTCGGGATGGGAGGAAAGAGGAAGGACTTTTTTCATATAGTATGTCCGGCAAACAATGAAACAAGTTAAGAACAAAGACAAACATTGCAGTGAAGCTGTCCAAGCTTAAGGCAGAGCAAACCAAGAAACAACAGGAGCGAAACTGACAACACTCCCCCCCAGTTATGAAATATTACTCCACGAGAAAAGAAGCTGAGCATTCAGCTTTTTATGAAGTGCACATTCCAAGACCTAGATTTACTTGATTTTACATCAGCTTTTATTTAAAAACGTTTGATTAAACTGTAATGAAGTTCCACCCCTCCAGTGAGCTTCCATGGATGAGCCAGGATTCGAACCCAGGTCTCCTGAGTCCTAGCCTGTCACTCTCTCCACTATACCATGCAGGGCACCTCCAGATCTTAATAATAATAATAACTGTGTGTTGTCAAGCCAATTCTGACTTACGGCGACCCTTCAGTGTTTTCCAGGTAGAGAATACTCAGAAGTGGTTTAAAAAATTCCCTTCCTCAGTCTAGGGGGCTCCTTGGGATGGCGCAGTTTGCCCAAGGCTACCCAGGCGGGCTCTTCCCCCTGGAGGCACAGGGAGGAATCGACCTCCCAACTGTCGGCTCCGCAAACCACTGAGCTATGCAGCCAGCTGCAGGTCTTAATACACAATGATGGACCTCAGTCCTGCTGCTTTTGAGTCTTGACCAGGGAGATGGTGAGGATGCGCCAGCCTGGCTTTCTCCTTTTTCTTGGCTGAGCAGCCAAAGAGTCAAAGTGGCTGGAGGACCGGGGCCAAATCAAGCCTTGCACACCTTGCACGGTTGTGGCCGAGTGGAAGGGGACCCCGTGTCTCATCTGGTCCAACTGATACAGGAAATCTCAAGTCTAAAGCATCTCTAACAGATCACCCACCTTTTCCTTCTGAGGTACGATGGGAGGTCACTCACCAAGCACAAGTGATGCTGGATTCGAATTCCTGTCATTCCCAGCTTCCCTAGACAGTGGGGAGTTGCTAAGAGTTCATCAGCCTCGAATGGGGGCCCCGTACGCCAGCCCCATTCTAAGAGAAACCTGCACAGGGGTAAACCAGGCCAGGAGGTCTTGCAATAGATCATGTTTTAATCGGCAGGTATAATTGGCTGGATAGCTCAATGAGTGAGGTACCTGGCTGTGGAGCCACTGTTTGGGAGTTCTCCAGTGTGTCTCCCAGGAGCAGACCCAACCTGTGTAGCCAAGCTGCTTACCTACAGAGCACCCCTAGAAGAAGGGATGGGGAAACCGCTCCTGGGGGCTTTGTGCCAAGAAAATCCTGGAAAGGATCGAATTAAGTCAGGACTGGCTTGGTGACACACAATGACTATGGATTCCAACTGTCCATAGGGAGGCGATGATACAAAGGCAAGCAGGAGACAGGAATGGACGAAAAGCCTTACTCTTAATGCTCTACAACCTGCACCGTGTCCTGAAATGCAAAGCTTACTTACCTCCCCATGACCAGCCACCAAGGTTACTTGCCATTGGTGCAGCAGTGAAATCTTTTTCGGAGACTCTTCAAATGTCCTTTACTTTCCAAGGCGGCTCCACTTCTAACTGAGAAGCTGCCTTCTCATCTGCTTCTGCATCCAGGCTTTTGCAGGGCTCCAGACGATGGGCATTGTGTGGTCTGTTTTTTCTCCACTATGTCTACGCCAGTCTGATTTCCTCGTGCAAACAGGAAGAAGACTGACCTACAGAGAAATCTGTGCCCCACCTGTTACTGGGCAAAACTTACAGTCAGGCACGGAATGTCTGCCATGGGTGGGTGGGAGCCCATGGCTGCTTGCCAGGGCAGGAGCTCCCTTTGCTCTGCTTTGTGCCCATCAGGAAAGACCTGTTCTTGGCCCCAACCTGGAAAAACCACCACAGCAGCTCCTGTGGCTTTGGGTTCTTCAAATGTGGGGACTCTCGGGATTCCTTTATATACCCACCCTGCGGCCACCCTCTCCTCGAAGATGGCTCACGACGCAAGCCGCATCTGGGCCCTGGCCTCTGAACCGAGATGTCTTCCTCTCTTTTGATCGCCTGCGATGCTCAGTCTTGGGTTTCCTTCTTTCCCTGCTCGGTGCTCAAAGAGACCTTGCGGGAGGCAGTCAGATCATCCCTTGCAAAATGCCAAAGAGGGCAAAGAGGAAGATGTGGGCTCTCTGTGGCTGGGCCAAGACCAAGACCGGCGCCAGGAGGGAACCTTTTCAACCACCAGCGGGCAGAGGAGCAGAAGGGGCCAAACATGGTCTCCACTAAAGACCAGAGGGGTGCCAGGGGGCACGTGGGGTGGCCACCAGCCCCCCTCCTCACTGGGACTTCTTGTCCTTCAAGGAGCCTGAGTTCTCCCGCCTATCTGGCTGTAATCCACACCAGCCCTCTCCTCCTCTTGGGCTAGGCTGGGCTGGGCAGGGCTGGCTCCCTGCCAGTCTCCTGGCAGAAGGATGCCGCCCGAGCGAGACAGATGTTTCCACTTGCTGCATCAAGGGCGTGGGTGCGGGTCCACCTCGGCTGTGTCCCTGTGGCGTGCTCCTGGCCGGGCTGGATTCGGTGAGTGAGTGCCCCTTAGTTCTTTGCTGCTTCTCTCCTTCACCCGTCGAGCCTCCCTCTGGCCTCCCCACCCCGGGGATGGTAGCTGGCGTGCCTGGGAAGAGGACCATGGAGGGCGGCTGAAGGCAGCCCCTTTGGGGGGGGGAGCAGGTCTGAGCAGCAGGGGCCACTTGCCAAGTAGCCAGGGATGCTTAGCCTCTGATGGACGCAGGGAGAGCACTGCAGAGGGGGACCGAACGGGTGGCTTCACTCTGTGGGATTCCGTTTGCTCTCTTTCCCTAGCTTGCAGGGGAAGGTGTTTGAGGGTTTTGCACAGCCCGACCGGGGTCAGGGCAGTGCAGAGACCAGCAGGTGTCATCACCCCCACTGCTCCAAGGGGGAACTTTATCCTGATGTGAGTGGGGCTATGCTCAGCTCCAAGGGGGTCTTGATGGACCTCCCCTGTGAGCCCGGGTCCTTTCCTGTCTCTCTCCTCGCCTCGTCTCACCTGGCAGGTGTAAGCAGGTGTCTGACTTCACCCTTCCTCCCAGCCGTGCCCTTTCTGCAGCCCAGCCACATCCTGGAATGCTCCGTTCCTTATTGTTCTGTTTACAGAGGAAGCTTGTCCCGATGCGCGTTATTAATAGGCATTATTAATGGGTTGTGTTGCAATCACCGGCAGGCAGGACAAAATACCGAGAAATACCCTTTGCTTCTCTCTAGTGGGCAATCCCAACATTCGTCCTAACAGGCTCACAAGAGTAGAAAAGATATAACCACATACAGTTTTACTTTTCTGTAAGACGATGGCATAAAACTGAAATATTCCCACTGAAATGCTTTAAAATGTCCCTTTAAAGTAACTTGTGGAAATTAACTGGAAAATATAATTCAGTGTCTGGAATCTTACTGGTGTTTGCATAAGTATTGCACCAATTTCTGCACCTAATTGTGGGTAACTGAAAAACCGCCGGGGCATGTTTGGCTTTGCGCCGGATCAGGTGCCCGATGGCACCATTGAGATATACCCTGGCATCTTGGCAATTTATTCCAATCCGTTCCGGCATGTTGCATGAACACGGATATGAATCTACCCTTTACATCAGAAAGTAACTTTGTAATTCCTTAGGAGGTTGCTTTTGAAATGTAACTTAATTATGCTGTTATGCGCCAAAAATTATAGGTCAAGATGTTACTTCTAACCAGTTACTTCTAACAGTGACTGAGAGTCCTCTCCCAGATACAGGACTGGAATCCTTGATCCGTTGCAGCCCCTGCAGGAATTTGTGTTTGTCAACCAGCAGGCGAAGAAAGCCTACCTGTGACCGTCCATCTGTAGGGCTCGGTTGTAGCCCTCCCAACGCCTGGCGACCAGGAAGCCTAGGCTCAAAAAATGCAGGTGTGGGGCAGAGTAGCTGCAAACTGCAGAAAGAGGAGGGGGGACCCTCTGCCGAGGGTGTAAAAGCAATGGCACAGTTAAGGAGCAGGGAGTGTTTGAGGTGCCAAGGGAAGAAGAGTTGCCTTCCACATTTTAGGGAAGGAGTTGCCTCCCGGAAAGGTGAGTCGGGCAGGTAGAAAGCCCAGGTTTGTCTCTGAAAACGTCTCAGGTGGTCCAGCACCCTGTCAAGCATGAGGGCAGCGTTGTGAGTCTACCTGGTGGGGCTTTCCACGGAACGCCACGAGCCGAATCCCGGCCCGTGGACATCACTGCTAGGTCACGGAAAAATGACAAGCCCAGCCAGGCCAGCTATCAAATTCTGGTATGTTTGTGGAATGCTCTCCCGCAGGGGTTGCGACAGGTTTAGGGAAGATATGGGTCAGGTTCTCCCCCATTAACTGGGACAGTGAAGCAAGGAGGGGAGGAAAATTGTGTCGCATGCCCCCAAACGGTCATTTTGCCACATTTCTTGTTATGTTTGTGTATTTGCGGGATAGTTTGGTGTTTTGTAGTAATTTCATAGCTTGCGTTCCTTTCTATTCTTCTTTGTGCACCATCCAGAACAACAATTTGCTAGATGGGCATTATATAGATCAAATGAAAGAATGAATCCTGAGGATTAATTGGATGAGGCTGCTCTCTGAATGGGGAGCTTCATTTGGTTGCCAAAGGGGCCCATTTTTCTTTCTTTCAGGTTGAAATTGCATATACTGTACTACTTTAAATGTAGCTTATGCAAACTGCTCAGAGTAGACATGCTCTAGATGGGTGGTGTAAAAATCTAATAAAATTAAATATAATAAATAAATGTGCAGGTGCTAAATTAAAAATGAATTTTTTTTGGTAATGAACACAGAATTACGTTGCGAAATCTAATAAAATAAAATAAAATAAATGTGCAGGTGCTAAGTTAAAAATGAATATTTTTTTTGTTAATGCACACAGAATTACATTGCACCTCTCTCAAATGGGGAAGATCATAAGCAGGGGGTTTGTATGCTTGCTGATGAGCCTGCTATCCAGACACAACTCCAAGGCTCATGACGTCCCTCTTCATGGCTCTTTATCTTTAAAACAGACCTGGACTGGGTGGTTCAGGTCTCTGGCTGTGGAGCCAAAGGTTGGGAGTTCGATTCCCCACTCTGCCCCCTTGACAGGGCTGGACTTCATGATCCAGAGGGGCCCCCCCAGCTCTGCTGATCTAAGATTATTATATTATTTTCTTCTAAAAGAAGATTGTCCTTTGGCAGTCTTTCAAACGAAGAGCTGTATTCCCTAAAAGAGGACATGTGGACACTCATGAGTTACCAGAATTTTTCAGATGAGGTTGGGAAGCCCAACAGGAGCCATGAGGAAATGTGGGAATGACATAGCCCATCATCCTGAAATCTCTCTCTCTCTCTCTCTCTCATCCAGACTCCCAGCCACCATGCTGAAGATTCAGCAGCTGCAGCTATCAGTCTTGGCCATACAAGTCTTCGTTCTTGCTTGCTTCCTTTCTCACCAGTACAACAGCAACAATCACCAGGCGGAGAAGCCGGCCCGGGTGCACGTCCTCATCATCTCCTCGTGGAGGTCGGGGTCCTCCTTCGTCGGCCAGCTCTTCAGCCAGCACCCCGACGTCTTCTACTTGATGGAGCCCGCCTGGCACGTGTGGGCGACCATGTACCAAAACGGTGCCAGGGTCTTGCAAATGCCAGCGCGGGACCTCGTCCGCTCTGTCTTCCTCTGTGACATGTCCGTCTTTGATGCCTACTTGCCTACCAAGAGGACGAAATCCGCGATCTTCCAGTGGGAAACCAGCAGAGCGTTATGTTCCCCTCCAGCCTGCGTTTTCTTCCAGCGCACCGACATTATCTCCAAAGACAACTGCAAGACAGTCTGTTCCAAATACCCCTTCAGCAAAGTGGAAGAAGCCTGCAAGACCTACAGCCACGTCGTCCTGAAGGAGGTCCGCTTCTTTGACCTCAAGGTGCTCTTCCCTTTACTCGCAGACCCCTCCCTGAACCTCAGAATCATCCACCTGGTTCGAGACCCCAGGGCTGTCTATTACTCCCGCAAGAACATATCGGGGAGTTTAGCCCGTGACAATAAGATTGTGACGGAGCACAAGAAACTTGCGGAGGACATGACGATCTACGCCATCATGGAGGAGATTTGCAAAAGTCACGTTAAGATCTACACCGCTGGAAGGGAGACCTTTCCTGGCCTCTTCCAGGGCCGCTACCAGCTGGTTCGCTATGAGGACATCGTTCACGACCCGTTGGCCGAAGTGGCTGAACTCTACAAATTCGCAGGGCTCAGTTTCACTCCCAGCCTTCAGTCGTGGGTGTACAACATCACCCACGGGAAAGGCCTGGGCAAGCAACCTTTTGACACAAGCTCCAGGGATGCCTTGAAAGCCTCCCGGGCTTGGCGGAAGAACCTCCCTTATCCCCAGGTAGCAAAGCTGCAAGACACCTGCAAAGAGGCCATGAAGCTGCTGGGCTACCAGCTGGTCAGCTCTGAGGAAGAACAGAAGGACCTCTCTTTGGGCCTCCTGCATCCTCTAAAGCCCCAGGCCACGTCAACCCTGTCTTCGGACAGCTGAAAGATCCACCAGGACATCCTATGTGGACATGGGTTGAGTGCAAGAACAAAGCCATAAAGAGAGGTCATGTCCCCCAAATGGGCTTTCCATGAAGGGAGCTGTTTCATCTGCTGACAGATAAGAGAGGACCACTGGCATGGGTGAGACAGGGTGACTGTGCATCCAGCTCCACCCTGTTATTCCCATAACGACAAGCCCGCAGCAGGTTATGAAAGCTTCTTCTCGGACTGAAAGCTTCTTCTCGGACTGAAAGCTTCTTCTCGGACGAGGACACCCTCCCTGCCTTCTACTGAAAGCTTCTTCTCGGACTGAAAGCTTTTTCTCGGACAAGCACACCCTCCCTGCCTTCAGTGGGTCATCTTACAGCCAGCATCCCCTCCAACAAAACTGGAAAAGGGAATCCAGATCTTCTGTACGAGTTGTACTTTGTAAGACCCTTTTTGGCAAAGGGGAGAGAAGGGAGGCAAAGACACAAGGCGTCATCTTCTAATGGAGAAAGCACTGGAGGCTTCCGGGAACATAAGCAAAGCTGCTTCTCTGCAGACACTTTCCCACTCATGGTTCATTGTTCCTGACCTGACCAGCCTACGATTCAGCTTCATTGAACGACACACACATATCCACACCTCTCTTGGGTTCTAGTCAGTGAGTTAGGAACCTGGCTGCACAGCCAAAGACTGGGAATTCGATTCCCCACTGTGGCTTCGGGGAGAAGAGCCAGCCTAGGTAGCCTTGGGCAAGCTGCCCAGTCCCAGGGCGCCCCCTAGAGGAAGGGAAGGGGAAACCACTTCGGTTGTCTACCTGGAAACCTCTGAAAAAGGTTGTCCTCAATCAGAACTGACTTGACAGCTCACAATTATTATCACGAGTCTGGGAGAAAAGCGTCTCTCTCTCTCTCCACTCTCTCCAGGACATAGATAACAGAAAGGGATACGAAACTGACCTCAGGAACAGAAATACTGAAAAATTAGGAGCTGTGGAGACTCGCTCTCCACATCCTGCCTTTGGCCTTTGGGTCCCCATTTTAGAGCAAAGGAACTTCAACACCAGATAGTGCTAACATTTTCAAGAGAGTTGCCTTAACCACTTCTGGCTCGAAAAGGGAGTGTTCCAAAAGAAAAATTCGTACTTCACCTGTTAATCTGCTCAGCAATGCAGAAAGAAAAAGAAAAAAAAGAGAGAAGGGGATTATCCTGCCGCACCTGTTTTGTGAACAACTACTGTTAAGAAACTGCTTCTCTTCACTTCCTTCTGAGATCCACAGTTTACCAATCCTGCGGTTTCCCTTGCCAACCATGTATGTACACTTCAGAATTTGAGTGGAGAGTCTTAGTACTTTGTCTTTAAAAGGCCACACGACAGTTCGCTGTCGCAATGTTTGAAGAAGGAGCAGGGGGTAGAGATGGAGGTAAATTTTACAAGGGGGTCAACAGAATGGTGCAGGCTGAAAGGGCTAGCTGAAAGTGAACTGAAAACAAAAGGGTAAAGTTGTCCCTAAGCAGAAGGGTGAGCTGGCCGGATAGCCTAGTGGTTTAGGTTTCTGGCTGCAAAACCAGGGGTTGGGAGTTCGATTCCCACTATGCCTCTTCCTCGGAGAAGAACCAACCTGGGTAGCCTTGGGGAAGCTGTACCGTCTCAGGGCACCCCCTAGAGGAAGGGGATGGTAACGCACTTCTGAGTACTCTCTACCTGAAAGGGTCACAGTAACTCAGAATTGGCTTGACAGCACATGACTACAGTATTATTATTACGCAGGAGGGCAGGTTTGGGGAAAAACACACTCTGAACCTACCAAATAAATCTAGAAAGGAGTCGGTTTCAATCAAAGAAGATATGAGAGGCTTGCAAACGATGGTTCTAGAAAATCATCCAGAAATATGCTGGGTGGTTAATCCTATAAAGCAATGGGTGTCCTCTCTCATGACCGGTGGTGTTCCTCTTTTAAACTTTCAAAGAGCCAGCCATTTTGTTAAATAAATAAAAAAGGACAATCTCAGCTGGGACCTGTAGGTGATTTTAGTACAGGTGTCCTACCCTCTTCTCTTTGGGATCTGCTTTATTCCTGGCTACCAGTCTTGCTCGTGCAATTTGATTTTTCTCCACCTTGTTCGGCGGATAGTTTAAGAAAGGTCTGCTGTCAACCCATGAATTCAGAGCCTCCGTCTTGTCGATCTGGGCAGATATGGTTGCGTCAGAAAGTCTGGCTATAAGCCACAGATCTTGCAATGTTCCAAGCAAAAACTGGAAGCAGGTAAGGACGATTGCAATCAACAAGATTTTAATATAACATGATGTTTGTATAAAAACATAACAAAAACAACAGTGTTGTGACACCAACAAAGACCAACACATTTATTTCGAACTGAGTGCAGAAGCACAGCATGAATATTGCCCGAATATCCATTATACTTTAATTCTATTGCACAATGACACTGACAGAGTGGCTGAAATCCAGTAGTAAGTCACAACTAGAGTAGGCCCATTGAATCAATGAGGATTTGGTGAGTCTCCTCTGTAAGTTCTACTGATTTAAGGGTCCAACTCTAGCTGCAAGTTACTACTGGATTTCAGAAAACAAATCTCTTATCTGGATTGGCTGAGGTTGAAGTTACTGGTGTGATGGTATTAACTGGTTCCTTTCTGCACATTATTAAAGAACTGAAAGTGTTTTATAAACATCTAACTCTTTTACAAAGGGATTTTCAAAGCATTTGAAGCCAGCTATGGCTGTCTATTGCCTAAGCTCAATTTAAGTCTTACTGGAGAGGTCACAGAATCAAGCAGGCCAATCCAGCAAACAGGAAAAGTGAGACAGCTTGCTTAGGTCTTCAGCCCAGAATTCCCTCTATGAAGCTATTTAACACTGAGTAACACAACCTCCTTCTCCACTCTGGCATGTTTGAGCAGCCCCTGATCCTTCTTGGTGTCAGAAATGGGGATCCTGGCCCACCCTGAGTCAGACAGAGTTTGGCTCAGAGCGTCCATGAGAAATATATCTCTCAAAGCTCTTGGGGATCAACGGAGGCCACAAAAGTCACCAAGAGCTGCTTTCAAACCATGCACAAGGACACAGAATCGCTTTAAGGACAACCACCAAATAAGACGGAAGCACGGCTCAAACTGGGTGTTTGTTTAAGGCTGCATGGAATTTTACTGCCAAACTAACCTTTAAGCTGCAGTCATGATTACGCGGCACTTCCTGAAGTAAAAAATGCAGGAGGGCTTACAAAGCAGGAAAAAGGAAGTGGAAGCCAGCCATGTTTCAGACACAGCCGCTGCTTCTATCGGCACCACCAACAGAGATTGATGGCCGCGTGCAGTCGTTGCACGAAAAAGAAGACAGGAATGTGCCGCTACCCGAGAACAGGCGGTGCCAAAAGCGGTTCCTGCCTGACCCTAACTTTTCCTGAAGGCCAAGCGGGCCTTTACATTCTCTGCTCCATATTTGGCGGAAAGCCTGCTCAGGAGATCCTCTGCCCCCGTCAGCAGATCCGTATCATCCTGTCTGGTCCACAGAGGACAGCCGTCCGGGCGCTGACCAGACCTCAGACAGCAAGCCACAGCTGCCACGTCCCCGCTGTTTTTCAGAAAAGCTTGAGTCACCGTGGCCACGTCCACCCCAAACTCTTCCATGAAACGCTTCATCTCCTGCACGGCCATGGCGACTTCCTCAGCAGAAGGGCCGGAAGGCTGCTCCTCCGCGGGAAGCAGGCTTTCAGACACAACAAGGTCCTCACTGTTGGTGGCCTCGGCCACCTGTATCTTGGGATCAGCAGACGTGGCCTCTTCGGAGGTCTTTGGCTCAGCCTGTTCTTGAACTATCTCTTCCTCGTGGCTTAGGTTTTCACTGTCTCCCTAGAAAATTTAGGACATTTCAATCAGACAGTTGTACAGTCGTGCCCCGCTTAACAATTACCCTGCATTACGATGAATCTGCTTTACAATGATGTTTTTGCAATCACAAAACGATGGTCTAAATGGGGGAATTTCGCTTAGCGATGATCGGTTCCCTGCTTCGGGAACTGATTTTCGCTTTACGACGATCAAAAACAGCTGTGCTTAGGGACGGATTCCTTGCTATACAGGCACTGAAAATGGCCGCCGTATGGAGGATCTTCACTGGACTGTGAGTTTTTAGCCCATTGGAACACATTGAACATTCTTCAATGCATTTCAATGGGTTTTTTATTTTCGCTTTACAATGTTTTCGCTTAACAGCGATTTTCCTGGAATGGATTATCGTCATTAAGTGAGGCACCACTGTATTTGCAATACTTTGATGAGAGGCCAAAAAAGTGTCGCTCTGCCCCCCTTCCTCCTGACGTACAATCAAGGTGAAATTTTTATGCAGGCTGGAAGGCACTCAACTAAATGCGGCAAACACAGCAGGAGAGGACAAGAGAACCCTGATAAGGAAGCGCTGCGGACAAAATGCAATTGTAATCCAAAACTGGACCCATTAAAAAGGACAGGGACCTCTCTTTCACCCTTTGCTGTCCATGTTTCTCACCGGGAATGAAAATCTGGTTTATCTCAAACCATCTCTCATAAAAGGATAGTAAAAGAAAAGAAATAGTCATCCGCTTATAACTTCCTGCTATATGAAAATAAAACCAACATCCTTATTGTTTCTGTATACTTTTGTGGGAGGGAACCTATAAATATTAAGCCATCAGATGAATGGGCGGGTCTGCTTAAGTCCTCTTATCACACAGAGAACATGTACAAAAAGATCATAAAATAATTCTAAAAGCCGGAGCATCTTCTTTTCAAACAAAAGAGCAAGGGGCGGGCACGGGGAAGATAAGCAAGCCAATGTTTTTCACTAGGGCTCTTAATTGCTGTGGAGGCATTTCTTTCAAACAATCAGTGGAGAATGGAAAATACAGGTAGAGCAGATGATGATGTGTGTATCTGGGCAGTAGTACTGTAGTAAAGCCGAGAGAGAGAGAGAGGGGGGGGAGCAGAAACTTTCTCTGTGTTGAGGCAGAAAGAAATCCTGCAAGAACAGGCTTATGGAGACCCAAAGGACACACGTTGCAAACGATGCAGTTTGGGAAGAATTCCCATTAAGAAGGGTGAGAAATGGCTATGACAAAAGCAGACCAGGCAGCCGACAACCGGGATCCAACATTTCAAATGAATTGGAAACATGCTGCGCCCTCCGTACCTCACTGTCTTCGAATTCTTTGTTTGCCATCTGGAAAATACCGCTCACCTCTGAACCTCCTGCTACCTGACTTTGGTCCTGTGGACGGGAGACTTCTGCGGGTTTCTCATCGTGCGAGGCTGCAAAAGACAAAAATAAAATTATAGCATTTGCCATGGCAAACAGTAGATTTCAACCTGCTTTTCCTACCTCGCGCTGATCCTAAAATAACAAGGGGCGGGCCGCTGACAGCATTCTTAGTACTACTGAATTCCTCTTTTAGCTGATTAGGGTTTAGTGATCGTTTCAATCACTGATCATGAGAGTGAAGTTTTCACTGGGCAAACTGCAGAAGCCGAGGCAGGCCTCTTAACTCAGTGGTGCCGCACTTGCTTTGTGCGCTGACTATCCCAGGATCAAACCCCAATGTCTGCAGTTACAACTAAAACAAAGACTTTCCCCCCTGAAAACCTGGAAAGCCAATGCTGCCCTATTGGTCTGCTAGAGCAGTGGTTCCCAACCTGGGGTCCCCAGAGGTTCTTGGACTGCAATTCCCAGAAATCCCGGCCAGGCCAGTGAGGGGTGAAGGCTTCTGGGAGTTGTAGTCCAAGAACCGCTGGGACCTAGGGTTGGGAACTGCTGGTCTAGAGGAAACTGATTCAGCAGAAGGCATCTCCGTACGTAGGACTCCAAAGGCTCAGCCTCTGGCCTACCTCCTCTCCTGTTCCTTACCAGCCCCCATGTCAGAAGGGTGAGGCTCTGGCACTTTTTTCTGCTTCGGATTTTTGTCCAGCAGGTCCAAGCATTCTTTGGGCCGCAGGTGCTTGAGGTAGCGGTCGCGCATGGCCTGCCAGGGGTGCGGGGTGACCCGCGCCCGGGCCATCTCCTTCCAGAAGGCGGTGCCGCCAAGGGCGCCCGCCTGTCCCTCCTGCTTTCTCCTTCGCACATAGCCCAGGATGGCCGAGTCTTCCACCACAGTGAAGGGCATCCGGCCTTCCGCCGTGTTCTTACTCTGGGCAGCCGGCGGGGGCGGATCCAGCTGGTAGTCCTCCAGGTGTAGCCGCACCTTCTGTGCCACGCTGTTGGTGACGTAGGAGGTGGAGGTGTAGACCCCGGAGGCTCCCGCAGGCACCTCGCCGGGGCGTGCCAAAAGAATTGCCCCGGGCTCTTGAACCCGGCACAACGACCCGCCGTGACGTAGGATCAGGGGCGCCACCTCCATCTTGGCCGCCCCGGGACGGATGTAGAAACGCAAGGGGGTCCCGTCTTTCTTCTGGAAAAGGATCAGTCGCTGCGGCTGTGGATAGAATTTCGGAGGGCCTCTGTACCACGGCGGGACGGGCATTTTCGCTGCTGGTGCGGATGCTACGGTGGCTTCTAGTGGGTTCAGCACCTACAAGACCCCCCCAAAAACCCCGAGAGATCTGGATGAACTGGGCGAAGGGTGCAAACTGGGCGAAGGGTTGGGGTCTCTGGCTGGAGAGCCAGAGCTTGGAGGTGCCATGCCCCCCCCCCACTGGGCCAACCCACCGCCTTGCAGGGACATGGATTCGAGGCACAGCGGGACTTGCTGGGAAGTCGGACTTAAGTTGCCTCAGGGACTCCACTTGGGCTTTTTTTTTCCTTTTCTTCTTCCCATAACACAGCCTCCACCCACAACTTGGAATGAACCCACCCTTTCCCCCTTTTTTTCCTAGGCAGAAAAATGCTTGTTTTTAACAGGGATTTGGACTTGGGAGTTCGAGACTCGCTACCAGAGACTTGGCCTCCGGACTTGGACCCAAACACTTGAACTTGGGAGCCAAAGACTTGCCCACATCCCTGCCCTTTTGTCAGGGGCTGGACTGGATGATCCCTGAGGGGCCCTTCCAGCTCTGCAGTTCTGAGATTATTCGGTGGCTGGATAGGTCACGGGTTGAGGCCTCCGGCTGTGGAGCCAAAGGTTGGGGGGTTCGATTCCCCCCACGGGGCCTCCTTGACGAGGGTCCTTTCCAGTTCTGCAATTCTAAAATAATTAAGAGCTTTGGGGAAGGAGCAGCACTCTGCACACGCTCAGAGGCACTCTCTCCCACTCACTTCCAAGCCTGCTCCAACCCAGGGAACCCACCTGCTCTACTCCTCCCCACGGACTCGCCAGAGACGACAACTTCCCCCCTCCCCGGAAAAAAAGAAAGAAAAGGAAAAATCGTC